TATTAGTGTGTGTGTGTGTGTGTGTGTGTGTGTGTGTGTGTGTGTGTGTGTGTGTGTGTGTGTGTGTGTGTCTGATTTTTCATATGAATAAAGGCTTGCAGGACCTGGTTCTTGTCTATTCTCATATATTTGTAAAACAAAGAAATGTTGATTAAAATGATGAAACGTGTTTGTGTCAGTCCCAGTTCTTAGAACTTCACTTTTTAGAAACCCACGTTTAAGATTACACCACATTGACATGTTTCATGTCACACCAGATCCATTTGGACAGAACCGTAATGTGTGTTTGCATTATCTAGGTACTATACTTGGGGAGTAAAAAGAAAAAAGGAATCAGTGTTCTTAGTGGAGAGCGTGTACCACTAAAGATATTAATTAATATCAGAAAAGTTGCTTTGTAAGTGAGCTACCAGTATAAAGAATTTCTTGTGATTTTTATCACAAATCTCATGATATCTGATGTTTTTCTTCAAGCCCCAGATCATGGAGTTATGTGATTGGGTGAGAATCTCAGCCTTTCATTTTTTTAAAGTAAGACCCTAGCCCTCATTGTTGCAGAGAAAAGATTGAAAACGAGACCCTCTAAAATCTCAAGAACCAGAAGGCAAATGAAAAGAACTTTCTCTCACTCACTTTTTAAAATCTCATGGTTTTTAGCCAATCTCATGATTTTGGGGACCTGCCTCATGACAAGTCAGTGGAGGGAGCTGAACTTGGTAGCTTCTCAAGGTCCTTTCCAGCACTACATATCTATGACTTCTGAATGCTTGGGGTTGGCAAGACTGATATATATTTTAAAACAAAATTGCTGAAAACCAGTTTTTTATGAACATACCAGCTCCTAGCTTTTCTCTGCAACAGTTGCTAACATCCAAACACGTAAAGCAGAAATTTTCTTTCACTCCCTGTTCTATTCTAAGGTAGGGTAACCACCTTTTCAAAAGGCAAAAGCGGGACACATGCAGGAGCCCTGCTCCCTGGCCAGGCCAGAAGCCGGAGCTGGGCTGTGGTAAGAGCTGCCCAGGGAGCTGGGGCCACTATGGGGAGCGGGACCCTCCACCTTCCCTGAGAGGAGGTCTGTGGTACTCGAGAGCAGCCCCTGGCCCATGTCCCCTCCCACTGGGGTGCACTGCCCATGGCAGGTGGAGGGGCTATGGCCCCCCACAGTGGCCTGGGCTCCCTGGGCTGCTCTTACTACTGCCTGGCCTATGGGGAGGAGGAGAAGGGGCGGGGCCTCATGGCAAAGGGCAGCCAAGGCCCACCTCAGCACCCTCCCCACAGGGAAGAGGCTGGCACCAGCCCTGAGCCTCAGGCAGGCATGGAGTGACCCCGCAGGGAATCTGGGACAAATGCTGTCCTGGAGTCATTCAGCCCAGGACCTGGACTTGAACTCGGCATTTCAGGACTGTCCCACCCAATTCTGGTTGGCTGGTCACCTTATTCTAAGTGCTTATGTAGCAAAGGACAGAATTCTGAACTCAGAATTTGCAAGCTGAGTGGACAAGGAATGGGTTTTTCAAATACTTCTTCCTTATATATATATGACACACAGAGAGAGAGAGAGAGAGAGAGCAATCCCTGCTGATTTGAGTCAGGAGAGACCCAGGCCTGGAAAAGCAGCAGATGTGAGGGGGTCGTGTGAATTCTTACTGCCAAAAAAATCAATATCGTAAAAATAAAATATTTTGTAGACTCGCCATAAATTTTTGACTCTGGACAAAATGAAAGGCAGTTTGTTCAGCCAGACAAACTACTATATTGCGTGGGGGGGGAGGGGAGGGGAAGGGGGAAGAGATCCAAATCTTATAAAAATAGCAAAAGTTTACCCGAGAAAAAACTGTCAATTCTATTCTTTGCTAAATTTTACCCAGCCCATAGTGGGAACCCATTATTGCTGACACTGACACAGAAATGGCAATATTTTCCCTTAGTTAAATAGCAAGGTCTTGTGAAATTTTCAATGTATATATGAATGCAGTGCATACTTGCAGAGCTCTAACTGCAGGCCAGGATTAAAGTACATTTAGAAGTGGGAGCCAATTGCAGGATGCCAGTTGTTGCCTGGTGAGATTTTAAAAAGGACACATCGTTGCATGAACAAGCTAAGCAATACAGCAAGTTACAATTGCAGTTTTGTGCCTTTCTGGTTAAAGCGAACATAGAAAAAACGGGGACAGGCATAGCATGTATTTGAGATATAAATAGAAAATAATGTCTAAACATATGAATGTATGGGTGCGTGGTAGCTGTCTGCACAGATTCCCAATTGTCAAGATTGCTCGTCTTTAGTATCACAAGATTATCAAAAGTGATTAGTAAATTCACTCTTTGGGTGTCCAACTTGAAACCCTTCAGACAGGCCTGAATTTCATAAAGTGCTGAGCAGCTACCCTCTGAAAAACAGGCTCCTCTAAGGTGTCCCAAGTTGGGCATCCAAAAATTGAGGCAATTAAAATCACTAGTGACTTTTGAAAACCTTGGCCAACAGTAACATGCCTTTACTTTCTCCAAATAGGACATTCAGGGCAAAAATAGGATGTTTGACCTGAGACCAGGTACAGAGCTGATTAGCTTACTGAAGAATAGAATCCGCCTTAGGGGTATTCAAGACCT